TGTTTTTTGTTTTTGTTTTTTTACTTCTGGACTGTCATGAATAACCAGAATGTCAATTTAGAATTCCTCCCACATATCTTGTTACAGAGAAAATTGTCAGCTGGTATAAGTATCAACCAAAGTATTGCCACAATTAATAAATATATTATATTATTGTGCTATATGAAGTTGTAGGCTCCTACATGTGTTGTTGATTTAATGGATCAGCTCCAACGGAAATGGCTGCTCATCCTCTTTCAGCCATGTTGCCAAGTCCAGGGAATTGGATTCCCTGATTAAATTATTTTCTATAATTTCTGAACCTTATGGTCATTTATCATTAAATTATTTTCTATCATTTCTGTATCTTATGATCATTTATCACTCACATATGTGAAGAATGGAATAGTAGGAGAAAATGTTCTCTAAATGCAGAAAACTAGAAAGTGAGAAGACCTAATATTGTTTTCTGACATGCCAATTTTCTGTTGTGTGATGGCCACTCTTTCCGATCTGGTTCCACTGGCAACATAAGGGATGGAGCCTGAATTCATTCTCTTATCTGCTGGATCTGAAAGGGCACTAAGTAGGAGTGCTCAAATTGGCCGGCACCCCTTGATCTGCAAGCTGACAATCTTTGGCCTTGGCCTGATGCCTTCTTCCTTTATCAGTTTATAAATAGGTAATGAAGCTGAACTGCACAACTATACTTTTCTCCTCTCATATACAAGTTTTGCAAATATATATAAGAGGTCATCTCTATAAAAATTAGAATATGGAACAAAAAATAATTGGGAAAGGGAGGAGAAAAATATATCCATCTTATCTGGATGTTATTTATAGAATTTTCTGGATAATTCTACATTCAGTTGCTATGTTCCCCATCTTAGTATCTGCTGTAATGTTACAAACGTATTAGCAGTTACATGGTTACTAGCATGTGCACTGTCTCGGCTTGTGTACAGAGCTTTGTCCTCTGTGCCAATCAGGGCAGAGCTAATTCTCTATTTGTTTCTTTATAGATCAGTCTATAAAGCCCACCAGCAGCTATGGTCCCGTTTGGATGGCCAAGAATGAACATGACTTAGGTTGCTATATTACTGTTTTGTTTTCACTTGTTATGAGAATACTTTGTGTGTATGCCTATTATATCTTGGGTGTTTAAGTTGCACATTCTACAACAACATACATTAACTTTGAAGGAAGCAGCAAAATTTTTAAAAAATACTATAAGCATAAATAGGTTTGTGTTCTTGTGTTACATAGAGGAATGTTTCCAAACCTCAGCTCCTTTTCTATTTGGTATTTATTCTTTTGGTTATTTATTTCTGTTTGTTTATTCCATCTCTGTTAAGAATCACATCGCCTCTTGTGTGAGAGTGGAAAGAATGCAGGAGCAAAGTGTTTAAAGGCAATGTACTGTTGAATGGTCTCCCTATCACCTTGCTTTGATTCTTGGTAACTGACTGAACTCTAAATTGCTTTTTGTATGTCGTGGATTATTACTGGAATAGAGCAATTTCTTTGAGATGGCATTGAATCACAGAAAAGCCCTATAACCTTCTGCTTGTTTCCTGGCTTGATTCAGCTTTCCCAAATAATGCAAATTTAATGCAGAGCGTGGCAATGTAAACCAAAATTACTAACTCTCCTTCATAATCCCTGATGCCACTCCTTTAGTAACCTAATCTACTTAAGTAACCTCTGCTGCAAGCATTTCTGTTCAACTGAACAGGACTTTTTTACAGAGTAATAGAATTTATTCTTTCAATTTCTTTTTTTAAAGTTTTTATTGATTTTTTTCATAAAATTCAGTAGTACTTGTTCCAGAAATGTGTTGTCTGAGTTTATCATTCATTAATACAAATTTAATACCTAATCCTTTATTCTTTTCTCCAGCCTTTGATAAAATAAGTCCCAAATTTGATAGTATTGTTTTTTTCTTTCTTTCAACCTCAAAGTAAGTCTGTCTATTTCCACACATTCTAGTATTGTGTGAATATGATTCTTGCTGCTGTTGTCATGTGTAGAATCAAGTATATATTTTGTTTATCAATCTTTTCTGGTATTATACCTAATAAAAAAGTTCAGGTTTAAAATCTACATCTTTCCCAACATCTTTTCTAGCCAAGTACATATTTTTATCCAATGTCTCTTTGCTTTAACACATGTCCACCATACTTGGTAATAAGTACCTGACTTGTGTTTACATTTCCAACATCTATCTGTCATAGTTTTAAACATTTTTGCTAATCTTGCTGGTGGCAAGTACCATCTATGAAACATTTTATATAGATTTTCTTTTAAGAAGTTGACATTGTCAATTTATAGTTTCTTTCTCACAAGTTTTGCCATTTTTCTAAATCTATATTATATCCAAAATTCTTTGCCCATGTTATCATTGTTTCTTTAACTTGTTCATTTTCCATTTTCAAATTCAATGAAAAGTTAAACATTTTCTTAATTAATTTCTCATCAGAGGTTAATAATGTCTGATCAAACAAGATTTCCTCTTTAAAAAATCCATACAATTTATGTATGTATCTTTATCGTATCTAACTTGCATTTGTAAGTATGCCCACCATGATAGATCAATACCCTGATTTTCTTTCAATTTCTATAGCGGCCCATCTTAACCAATGATTCAATAGTGGGTTTCATAATTTAGGATTTTACATAAAAGGTGTTGTGGATGCTTATCTGTTGTTTGCAGTTCTTTGCTTTCATTCAAAAGTTGGTTTGGTTTTGTTCAACATAAAAATGTTGAATGTACATAAGGCTGACTCGTGCTTAGCCACTATAAACCAAAATATGGCTGTGTTCACCCAGCATGCTCTGCCATTGTGTGATACGTGATTATGGATTAATATTGGTAAAAGCAGCCAATTATGGATTATTCAGTAATTATAGTTAAATGAGAATAGAATAGAATAGAAGCTGGAAGGGACCTTGGAGAACTTTTAGTCCAGCCCTCCACTCAAGCAGGAAAACCTACCATTTCAGACAAGTGACGGTCCAGTCTCTTCTTAAAATTTCCAGTGATGGAGCACCCACAATTTCTGATGGCAAGTTGTTCCACTGGTTAATTGTCCTCATGTTAGGAAGTTTCTCCTTAATTCCAGGTTGCTTCTCTCTGATCAGTTTCCAACCATTGTTTCTTGTCCTGCCCTCTGGTGCTTTGGCGAATAGCCTGAAGCCCTCTTCTTTGTGGCAGCCTCTCAAATACTGGAATACTGCTATCATGTCCCCCCTATTTCTTCTTTACTTTAGACTAGCCAAACCCAAGTCCTCAGCCGTTCTTCATGTTTTAGTCTCCAGTCTTGGATCATCTTAGCTGCTCTTTGTACTTTTTCTAAGGTCTCAACATTTTATTTTTTTTGGTATGGTGACCAAAATTGGCTGCAGTATTCCAGGTGTGGTCTCATTAGGGTTTTATAAAGCGGTACTAGTACTTTGCGTGATCTTGATTCTATGCCTCTGTTTATGTAACCTAGGATTGTATTAGATTTTTGGCTGCTGCTGCACATTGCTGGCTCGTGATCATCCACTAGGACTCTAAAGTCCCTCTCACAGTTACTGTTTTTGAGCCAGGTCTCACCTAATCTGTACTTATACATTTGATTTTTCCTGCCTAAATGTAAAACTTTGCTGTTCTCCACATTGAAATTCATTTGGTTGGATGTGGTACCATTGAGGACTACTTGTTGAATATGGTTTGTCAGCCAACTACAAATCCATTTGGTGGTGATGTTGTCTATTCCCCCTTTTTCTAGTTTACCAAGCATTAGACTGTGGTTTACTTTGTTGAATGCCTTACTGAAATCTAAGTATACTATGTCCACAGCGTTTCACTGGTCTACTAATTTGGTTACTGGTAATTTAGTATAAAATGTGTAGCCAAAGGCTTATCATATTTTGCAAATTCCATATTTTGTAAATGGGACTGGATAATACCATATCTCTGTTCAAAGTGAGTTGTGAAAGATTTTCACACACTAAAGGTTTTTTTGTGTCAGTATGTCATGTAAATACATCCTGTTCAGATGAAAATGGACCAGATATCTAAAATTTGTTGTCTCATTCTTTGGCTCTTAAGGAAGGGAAGCATGTAGCAACTTAAAATATGTGGACGGAATCCTTACAACTGTATGAGGGAGACACTAAAAAACATAATCTTTGGGGGAGGAGAAAGAAGAACTTAGTTTTTATTAGCTAATTAACTTGTGTATTAACTATTTGTAAGATTTGTTAATTTGTAAGATTTCCAGAGAAATGTATGATATGAAACTTTCAAATAGCTCGAAATAATTGTGGGCCGATTTGTAGTACAAAAAATAATTGTCATTACTGATCAATTTATCTGTCACAAATGAATATACGTGTCCCAGAATAATGTTGCAGAATCCAATCTGGGTCGGTCATTGGGACCTCAGAGGTTTTGTCTTCCAATCTTTTGGACTCGTGCTAGAGCCCATCCTCAGACAATAAACTGTATCTCTTGTATTATGTACTTTTTTTTCACAAGTAATGTAAAAGCAGCTGTTATGTTGCATACTGTGCTTTACTCACACTGAAAAATGTATAATCTAGCTTTTTGTTTTTTTGCTGACATTAAATGGCAACTAAAATGCAAGTCCACTCATTGAAATATTTCATTTGCAAGGCAAATTAAGACTTGGCTTCTCCAAGTTTCCTTCCAGTGCTTCCATATAACTCCCATAATGGTTAGGGCTTATGTGTTAAGATTCCAGACTGGGAAATACAGGTTTTCACTATTTAAGCCAGCAGTAAGAAGAAACACTGAATCCTTGTCTGTTATCTTCTGAAATTAGTTCAAGTATAGATCCTTGAACTAATAGTATAGTTTAATAATATGTTTAATTCTAACCATCACTAGTGTAACAGATGTTTGCTGTGCACGTTATTTGAAAGGAACCACTTAAAATAGCTTACCAAGTGACTTGGCATTGCTAACTCAGGCAAATCTATTACACTTTAAGAAAACCACATGCTCACAGTTGTAAGATTTAAGAGCACTTTATTGTTCATTAAGGCTACTTTTAAGTACAAAAAAAAAAGATGGCCTGCCAAACCTTTTTTAAAAATTGCCAGGTGAAACAAGGCCACAAAAGAATGATATGTTACAGATTTACAAATATGGAGAACATTGTTCAATCTGGACTGTAGATCCTGTGGCTCTGTGAAAAAAAACTTCATGTAAGAATGAGGTTAATATCCTTTCTCCTTCTCCTCCCCCTCTCGACCATTTTGGTTTTTAAACAATAATTCTGTTTTCCATGGACTATTTTTTTTCTTCCAAATGGTTTTGTGTATATAGTACACATTGCACTGAGAAGATAATCCTCAATGCATTTACTTCAAAAAATGTTGCACCACAATCAACACAAGTGTATGTCCATGTATTGTGTGTTAGGACTGCAGTGATTATTTCATGCCCCACTTACTTATCACAGATAAGTAAATTTAACTTTGTAGTTTTGTGCTTCAAAGAAATGTCAAAAGAGTTCTGTATCCACAAAGTCCATCTGCAGTCATTAGTACTTGTTAGACCGCTCAGTAGCCTGTAGCAACAACACACTAGTGGCTATTAATTGCTAATGCAGTGTTCTTATAGAATAACTGTGTTCCTGCACTTTTACTGTATTACAGACATCTACAACAACAACAAAAAAAGATCAACTTTTTTCTCCAGACAAAAACAAAAGAGAATGATTACAATAAAGGAAAGGGAAAAATTAAATAGCTACATATCATTAACAAATTAATTGTTCCTCAAAAAAATACCTACAAATTTCTCTGTACATTCTTTACGCACAGCGTAATGATGGTCTTAAAGTTACCTATATAAAAAAGGTTTTTTTCTGCACTTTTCTTACAGGGGGTGGGGTACTGAATGCCAAAGGTGACTGAGCATTTAACTACCCATTCACATGACCGTAAAATATGTGAAAGGGGCGATGAACAAGGAGCTTCTCTTGTCTTTTTCTTGCTTTTAAAAGTAGGTAGCTACTCTCTCTATGGAATAAGACAAAACAGATCCTTTGCTGATCTTTTCTAACCGTGGTTTTCATTTTTACAAAAATATAAATTCTGGCCCCAATGCTATAACGTAGTCCAAAGGACATCACGTGCACTTCAGACTTTTGCCTTATCCTATATGCTTTCAACAGCATCTATCTTTTCAGGTAACCCACTGTTAAATGGACTAGTTGTAACTGCTGGAATGTGCAGGGATTATGGGTGAGTTGTGACATTAAAAAAACAACAACAGCTGAGCCCATTACTACTAAAAGAAGTCTGTTCTGTATGCCTGCCTCTATTACCTAGTTAGTGACTATTAATACAGCAAATGAGATAAATGCAAGTAACACCTTTATAAAAAAAGAGGAATGTATGGTGCCTTGGCCTAGGTTTATAAGCAGCCTCAAAAATTAGATTTCTGCAACTAGAGCATACATGGATAAATATGTTTCAGTAAGTAAATTTGCATTTGAGCAGCTGATTCTCCACATGAAAATTGTCACAAATGCCATAGTAGCATCCTGAATCTCATAGCACTCCATGATATATAAACTGCTTCAGTTGAGGCCTGACCAGAGGCGACTGTCCAAGGTTGCTGGCTGCTACGAAAATGAATATCAAATACAAGTATCAGAGTACAACTGTACCAGCAGTAAGTTTATCTAGGACTGTTAATGGAAAAAGAAAACCTAGTTTTCAACGAAGGCTAATATATTTCTTACTGTCTATACATTAATAGATACCAGCTATTTTTCCATAAAACATGCATCTTTAAGCACTATTGAACCCTCTTACCTCAGTTCTATTCTAACAAACTGCAGTGGAAAAAAAAAATGCCCATGATCTGTTGATTATGCAGTCCAGTTGCAAGCATGAAGCACCTGAAATCTACACCGAGAAGACCTATAACCTGTATGAGACTTCCCCTTCCTAAACAAATGTTGCTTCTTGTTTTCAAGAGGCAGAGACACCAGATGCTTTTTGCCAAGCAGTTTGCCCTCCGAATAGAAGCATCCTGCCTAAAGTTGCTATGCAACCCTAACCTCCTCCAATAGTGCAAATCATACACAACAGTTCTTTTCAAGTATATACATACAACATTACTTCACAAAGGGAGAAGAAAGTAATGGAGACAAAATCCAGACACAATTCTACCCTCAAGAAGCTAATCAAAGCAAACAAGCATTTGGGTCAATCAACTGTACAGAATGGCTTTTTTCTTCTTTTCTTTTTCCCTATTTACTTGCGTCTACATTTTGTTTTCAGAAAGGGGGGGCAGCAGAGTTGCATCAGAGGTTTCTTTGGTAACTGAGGCAGGAAAAAAAGAGTGCTACATTATTAAAAACAATTAAAAATCAAATAGTTCCTGCTATCAATTTTAAGTGTGTGTGTGTGTGTGTGTGTGTGTGTGTGTGTGTGTATATATATATATATATATATATATATATATATATATATAAAAGCCCAAACACAAAACATGTATTGAATTGTTAAAACATGTATTGAATTGTTATCTCCTTTTATATCATCCCTCCCAACACTTTTCGTTTTGAGTACTGTTCAAGCTCAGCCAAAACAATACCAACTTCTGCTTCGATGAAGAAAGTTGTGGTCCCGTGTTCATGAGACAACCGAAGGTGAATGATTATGATTGACCAGATGGGAGGAAGGAGGAGAAGAGGACTGGCCCCTCCTGGAAGCAGACTCTGGACTATTGGACACACCATCCTTGGCAGCTTTGATCTGAAGCCAGGTATCTCCGAGAGCTTTGGCAAAGTGGTCATCGACGGATCCTGTGATGGATACAGAGTTTGTCACTGGCTCTGGCTCCTTGTAATTCTTGCCAAGGCTTCTGCGGAAGTGTTCTTCTACCACCGGATCACACGCAGCAGTAGCTATAGGGGAAATGCAGAAGACGACTAAGAAACAGACAAACTACTGCTTTTTCGTATGAATCGTCTAACTCCCTTTGCAGCTGTTCTGCTTTTAAAGTACAACTGCAGTAATAATTATTTACTTCTTAATGTATGTACAGTATGCATTAATGTTACGTATCATTACATAATACCATAAATTACTGTTTTATTGGAAATGCTTTATTAGAATGCATTATCCAGAATATGTTTTCTATTATTTGTGTGCTCAGGCCCTGTAAATGAGCTAAGAGAAAAGGAAAAGAATGTATATAATTGTCATTTTAGACGACTATCTGAAAAGCCAAAAACAGATGTCTCCAACCTGAACAACTTCAACTTGTACAGACTTCAACTCCCACAATTCCCTGGTCAGCAGGGCCATTGCTGAGAATCTTGAAGGCATGCAAATTGGAGAAGGCTGGGAGAACATGCAAGTGAGCTGCATTTCCGTAGATTGATTCTGTATGCTCCCAAAACTGTTCCCATAAAAAATAGGAAAACTGGAAATCAGAAAATCATGTGGGTTTTAAGAAGGTTCCAAAAAGAATCTAAGAGACGTTCAAACTTTTGAAAGTTTTTTAAAAGTGATCATTTTTTCCCTTTGTATTTCTTGTTCATTTTATTCTAGCCAAAGTAATAAAGGCATTTAAATGTTGTCTCTTCAGTCTGTTTTTCGGTAACCAATTCCACAGTATGTTGTCAAATATACACAAAGTCAAGGGAGGGGTTTGATTCAAATCTAAATTAGCTATATTTAGATCCTATTAAAATCAGTGTGAAAAGTTGGTCACAAAATTAAGTTTACTCTTGCTAAAAAGGGCTAATTGTTCTACCTCTCGAGTCACAAGCAGCTGCTGGCAAGCAACAATGAGGGAGGGCTATTCGTCTACTATGCATTCTGCTGAGCTCCTCATATGCATTTGGCTGACTGCTGGCTGTTACTAAAGGCTAGACTAGATGGGCCCTTAGTGTAACCGCTGAGTGGCTTTTCTTTCTGAAACTCCGGACTCCAACTTCATTTCTGCTCCCACAAATCCATTATTATAATTACCTTAACCTTTTATCTCTTTATTATCCTGCCTAACGGTTTATATCGAATGCTATTGAAAATAGATACGTTGTCTTTAAAAATGCACAATATCAAATCAACCGAAATCCAGTTATATGGATTTATACTTTATTCATTTTATTTATATTTTATGGATTTTAGAATACGTACAAAGATTATAATCTTCCATTGGACCACCTAGATTTTCTTCTATCAATACATTTTTAAAAATTTTGAACAGTTTAACATCTCTTCTAATTAAAAATAGGAAGATCTTAGCAGGAGTTCTCCTTTAATACAAACACGAGTTGCCACCATTCATTTAGTGACTGTTCAAAGTTACAACAGCACTGAAAAAAGTGACTTATGACTGTTTTTCCACACTTAATGACAGTTGCAGTATCCCCAGCGTCACGTGATCAAAATTCGGATGCTTGGCAATTGGTTCATATTTAGGGCAGTTGCCGTGTTCCGGGATCACATGATCACCTGACAAGCCAAGTCAATGGGGAAGCCGTTGCTGTGGCAAGAAAGATGGTAAAATGGGGCAAAACTCGCTTAAACTGTCTCACTTGGCGAAAGAAATTTTGGATTCAATTGTGGTTGTTAAGTTGAGGACTACCTGTAATTACATATTTAATTTGATTGTACTACTTTCACCCTGCTTAAACATGTTTCTATTTCTGTAATTCATTACACTATATTAATAGCTATTTGATAACCGCATATAAAATGGATCTTTGGAAGGAAAATTATGGCTATGAGTGTTACTTACTGCTAGACGGTCTTCGGTAACTGGTTGGCACAGCAGCACCACATCCACTGTGCACAATTGGACAATGAGAAAGGTTACAGTTTCGATTGCTTGCAGAGGCACATGTGATTACAGATGGACGGTTCTGAGGATAAAAGAACATAGAAATCATAGGCAGCTCCTCAAAGAGTTGTTTAACCTGGCAGTTACAATTTCAGAGCAGTTGTTAGGAAGTTCTGTTCTCCAAAACTCATACAAGCAATATTTTTAAATATTTGAAAAATAACAAGATTCCCAGATCAGGCAAGGTGTTAACAAAAATTGGGAGATGACAATAATGATTTTAGGAAACATTGGAGGCCAAACTGTGATCCAGAATAAAACTGCTGCTACTCAAAGTGGCTGGTCTTAGGTATTTCAGCAGTTTTCTGGTTATTGAATGAAGAAATAGTCAGGAATTGTTGGTTCCCTCCTGCCAACCCACCCAAAGGTTTTTTTTTTTTTAAAAAAAAAACAACAACAACAAGGCCTTACAATGCCTTGGGAAGGCCACACTTGGAATACTGAATCCAGTTTTGGTCACCACTATGTAAAAAAGATGCTGAAACTCTAGAAAGAGTACAGAGAAGAGCAAAAAAGAAGATTAGGGGACGGGAGGCTAAAGCATATAAGGAATGGCTGCTGGAATTGGGTATGTCTAGTTTAACGAAGAGAAGGACGAGGGGGGACATGATAGCAATGTTCCAATATCTCAGGGGCTGCCACAAAGAAGAGGGAGTCAAGCTATTCTCCAAAGCGCCTGAAAGCAGGACAAGAAGCAATGGATTGAAACTAATCAAGGAGAGAAGCAAGTTTGAACTAAGGAGAAACTTCCGGACAGTTAGAACAATTAACCAGTGGAACAACCTGCCTCCAGAAGTGGTGAATGCTCCAACACTGGAAGTCTTTAAGAAGAGATTGGACAGCCATTTGTCCGAAATGGTGTAGGGTTTCCTGCCTGAGCAGGGGATTGGACTAGATGACCTCCAAGTCCCTTCCAATTTTATTATTATTATTAAATCTTGTTTCCATTCTTAGTCCTTTAACAGGCAAAATAAGAAAACTCATCCTCAAACAGGCTTATCTTGCATACTTGAATCTTACAATGCATTTGCATCTTTGTTTCCGGCAGCGCAGTGATTAAAGTGCAGCAGTGCAGGCAAACTCTGCCCACAGCCTGGAGATTGATCCAGGCAAGGCTCAGGATTGACTCAGTCTTCCATCCTTCCATAGTCAGTAAAATGAGAACCCAGATTATTGGGGGCAATATGCTGACTCTGTAAACCACTTAGAGAGGGGCTGTAAAGCACTATGGGTTGGTATATAAGCCTAAATGCTATTGCTATTCTCTCAACTTGGCTCAGCCTGAAGGGAAGAGGCAAAATTTGTGCCTGGGACAAAGGGGATCATGCGGAAAGCCAACCTATCTCTAACCAAAAAAGACAGTGTCTACAGTACTGTCTTGCCTTCCCACTTGCTAGAGTTAGAAAAACCAGCTTTTTACCTAAACACAGACTGCAACTGAGGCTTAATACACTCACATTCTGTGTCTTGGGGTGATGGGAATTTAACACCAGCAATATTTTCATTGGCTGCTAGAGCCAAAAACGTTTGTCAGCCTATGCTAACGTAAAATCTGAACTGGAGATCAAAATCCAGAACTATCAACTTTTATGATCTTGGTCTAATTGTACAGCTTTGTTTACTATATTTCTACTAGATCTGCACAATGCCAAGGGAATAATTAAGAAAGGGTACTTCGAAGACTGCTATCCTGGGAAAAGAACTGATTGATTTAAAAAGTTGCAAACAGGTGCTTTGCTCATAACCACATCCCCTCTGCAACATCTTTGGGGTGCTGAACCCAAATCACTATATAACTCTAATTCTGCTACACCCAGCAACAGAAGTTGTTTTAAGATTAAGTTATCATAATCTGAACGAGGGCCCTTGTAAACTTTAGCTATAGGAAGAATAAAAGAGAGCAGATACACAGTAAACAAAATACTGCATTTGACCCAAATTCAGACTAATGGAAAATCAGACACAACTAGTAAAGAAGAACTTTCAGTCAATACTGGGTTGCCTGAGATATTCCTTTACAAGACTGCCTGAAATAATTGTAGGCATCAATTCCCACTTAACAGGAAACAGTGAAGGTCATTTCAAATAATCTAGGTACAGGACTAAGGGAACAAGCTCTTGGCTCTTCCAGTCATTAACATGCTAACACAGTGTTTCTCAACCTTGACAATTTTAAGGCATGTGGACTTTGACAACTCCCAGAATTCCACAGCCAGCATTGCTGGCTGTGGAATTCTGGGAGTTGAAGTCCACATGCCTTAAAATTGTCAAGGTTGAGAAACACTGTGCTAGCAGAAAAAGTACTTGCATTAATCTAGCAATCTGGTTAATTGGTTAATATTCAGATATAACTGCTTCATTGGATTATATTGTTTACTTTAGCTTTGTATTACTATTTTTTAAAAAAGGATAATGATTTCTTAACATACATTCCAGGCATCATGTGAAACGTTATATATTGTTAAAAATTAAAAACATAGTAATATACCAAATTGCACACCACAAAACAAGAAATCAGTCAATATACTTAAATAGTTAATAACCCAAAGGCCTTCAGTGTAATATCCAATATTACCTCTAGGAAGGAAATTATATTTAAGTCCTACTAAATGATTTTTAAAATATGGCCAAAAACACAATAATTATCATCCAATAAAAACAGTTCTTGTGATACTGTTCAATGATGGATTATCATGCAGCCCCAAAGTCATGTGGAAGCCTCTCCTTTCCTCATCCTCAATAAACCAACAATGCCGAGGAAATACAGTATTCAGAACAATAGCAGGTGGACTGAAATACTGGATTATACTACATAATACCCCAAATGATAACATAACAGACAAAAAAGTGTTCAGGTCATATCCCAGTGAATAAAGTTTGCAGGGAAAGTACAAAATGCTAAATGCTGCCTAATAACAATTATAAGACCAAAGTAACACTGATTTAGCTGAGTGAAAAACTTTTAGATTTTTTGGGAAAAATTATAATTTTGAATTTAATGCTAGTTTCTAAGTGGGCAATGGTAGCTGTATGGTATTTTTTCCTAAGTCACAAAGGAGATGTTGAGACATGAATTAGAAAGTCCCTTACAACATCTTACAACTACCTAACTTAGTAGCAGTTTCTTTAAAAAAAAAATCCACCTGGAAAAACAGCGAAGAAATAAAAGGACAGATCTAATTTAGGTGATAAGATAAATCTACAGAAATGTTCTTAAAGGAAGCAAAAGTGATAGTAATGCAGGAAAAGAGTTTACAAGCACATATACTGATTTATTTCATAATCTGCAAGTAACTGTGAAACAGGAACTCATGCAATCCTCCAAATAAGCTAGAAAAGGGAGCTTATCAGTCAGTTACAAAGTAAGATAGCTCACACAAGATTGGCTAGGATTTTATGTGTCTATATATAAAAAAACAAGATCTGTGATAAATATTTTTCATGTGCCAACTTTTTTTAATCCTTTAAAATGAGTGCCTTTTCTCTCATCTTTTGTCTGATGGTTAAAAAAAAATGGAGATGATTCTAAGGCTTGTGTTATGAATCCGGTTTAAAATCCTTCAATGTTACATTAAGTAGCTTTACCAGGAACTTAGGGAATTGCTCATCAGCTCAAATTTTCATTCAAATACGAAGATGGAAATTTTGAATTTGGCTGCAATTTGAGGAAGGCAGGAAGAAAGAGGAAGGGGGACTTTGGTCTTGGATGACATTCCTACCTTTCCATGAATCAAGAAATCAATGGTCTGCCATCATCTTGTAATGAACTCAAGATAGCATTTTAAAAAAAAAAAAAAATAAGAAAAAGCATCCTTTCCCATCTGTCTGCTGCAGACAGAATTTCTAATTAAGGACTGTCCTTCACTCAAAGATACTTTTTTCTTCAAAAGGCAACTGTACTATTTTTTCCCTGAGGAAGAAGAAAACATTTTTCTTCTCATCCAAGAAGCTTCAACAGTTCTGATGGGGGGGGGAGGGGGAATGGAAAGATAGATTCTGATAGGATGGGGGTGGTGATGGAAGGATTGTATTTCTTTGCACTCATCTGGCTGTTAGCATTCTCTGAGAGCTGTTGAGGACACCTGGGGGGTGGTTATCTGTGCCCTCAGGGTCACCTGAATTAGGGTAGGATTGGTTGTGGAATCTTCTTGGAACTGCTGCAAGTGTTGCATTGTAAACTGGTGATAGGTGGTGTCTTATTCCTCCCCCTCTGCTGAGGAGAGCATGTTCAGTTCTAACATAGATGGATCCTTTTGCCCCTCTTTCAAACCAACAGCCCTCTATCCAACTATGACCTGGATGACTCAGAATCTCCAGACTTCTCTCCATTAACAACTGATACATCAGGAAACCTATTTCTGAACTGTATCACTTCAGCCCTCATCAAATATGATTATTGTGAAACACTCCCATTATATACATTAAAAAAACAAGCATGTCAAAAAAACAACTTAACTACAATTCTTCCTCCTCAACTTCAAATCTTCTGCATGTAATTTATACGGAATTTGTTCCAACCATTCAATTTTTGAAAAGCGAGTTAACAATAACAGTATTAATCAATATTTAACAATGGTTAAAACACTGATTTCTTTTTTGAAGACTAAAACAGGAGAGCATCTTTAAAATAGGTAGAGGAGAGCGTCTTTGCTTTCTTGTGAGTTTAGACAGCTAAGAAAAGGCCCTTTCCCAATGTGTTGGAATATCTGATATTCCTCAGTAGTGCTTGTTTTAATACATCTCTCAAATTTTGCCTATATTAAAAATATTTATTTATATATGTTTCAAACAACCAGATTTGCAAAGTTCCATTATGCCTCTACTGTTTGCAAAATTATTAATTGGGACGACTTATGAAAATTATGTAACCAATGACTCAGCAAAAACCAGCTAACCACACACAAAAATACACACACAGAAATACAAACATTGTAGAAACGCTAAATGAAAAATAGCTGCCCAGAAATATGTATCTTAGCGAACAAAAATGCCAAGTACCTGCTGCCGTTCCACTGACGTCATTGTAGGAGTCATGCTTACAGACCGAATAACATCCATGCTGTTTTTGGTCAGTGCTAGAGGTTGCTCCATAGTTAAGCTTGGGATTGAGGCATATATATGATTAGCGTGAAGGCCCATTGTTGGTGCAACAGCCCGTTCTATAGGACTACGACTCCTTTCTCTATGTTCTTTTCGGTAATCCCCATTTGCAGTCTTCATTCTAAGAGAAAAACAAACAAACCAATACTTTAGTGTTGTGCATTTAATTCAAGGAATGTACTCCAAAGGCAGGCTTATAGTTAATCTGCGATTTAACATTGGTGACGTAGGGACCATCTGGAGTTAAAGCACCACACAAAGCTATTTATGACTTAGTTTCGAAGTTACGGCCTCTGCAGTGCTCCCATTGTCAGTCACTCTTACACTGACCTCAGGGATGCTGCAGTGCTCCCCCCCCAACCTATCTTCCCTCCACCATCCCACCCACTGGGTCTTGTAAGTTTTTGGACCTGCTTTCCCCCATGTCCTGCTTCCGTCACAAATGGCATACAAATTGACTAGTTTCAGATGGCCTGGGACCATTTTTAGAAAACCATTTTTTCCTATCCTCATAATCCAACATTTTATAACAGTACATATTTTATGCCTCTCTACTATGGAGAGACATCATTTCTTTATACCCACTGATAATGATCAACATAAATTTTAAATTTCATCTTTGATCTGAGCTACATTTTATTAAGAATTTAGGTCATCTAGTTCAACCCATACTACTATAGTACTACTAATAGTATACTACTAATACTACTGTAAAATGGACTCGTGGTTGGCTGAATGACTGTACCCAAAAAGTACTCATTAATGGTGCTATTCAGCTTGGAGAAAACATCAAATGGAGTGCCATAGGGACTTGGCTGTTTCAACATTTTATCAATAACTGCAATGAAGGAATTGAGATGTTTTTCAAGTCTGCAAATAATTCAAAACTGGGAAATGAGAAAAGATACCTAAGCAGGCTTGAGAAGTGAAATGAACAGCTGGGCAAGATGGGTGGCACATAAATTAAACAAACAAACAAATAAATAAATGGGAATGGCCTTGAGAGATAGGAGGAAGAGCTGTTTCCAAGGTAATTGTCAGATAAAAGGGGCTGGAGCTTGGGCCAAAAATGAAATGTGAGTAAACAACTCAGACAAGCACCTCCTTAGTTCACACAAAGATAAATGGAGAGCACTTTCATATTTGCAAGATTCTGTTACTAAAGCTTTAGTATAAAAGTAGTACTGATTATTCATGGCATTGATTTCCTAATCTGGTTTATCTTGAAAGGTTGACAAAAGGCCTGCGTTAAGGAAGGACTATATCAGATAATCCCTAAGGTCCCTTTCCACTCCAAGAATCTAAGCATTTCCCAACTGGTAGACTAAAGGTGGGGAGATCCATGTTGAAATCTACCCTCCATCTTAAAACTCACTGAAATCTTGGATTAGTTTCTCTCTCTCAACCCAACTAGCTCCTAATGGGGTTGTGAGGATGAAATGAAGGGAGAACCTTGTGTAAGTCCTTATGAGCTCCATAAGAAAAGTGAGATATAAACCAAATAAATTAAAATTTCAAACTGCTATTGTTAGAACACGTGAAAAGGCTTGAATTATTTTTGAAACATGATCTACCGCATCTAATTGCCAATATAAAAGCAATTATGGAATAGGGATGTTGCCAACTGAATAAAATTCAAGTACTTCAATGAGGAGACCTGCTATACTTATTCCTTAAGATATATTTATTTAGCAATTCTGCTTATTCTCAATGAAACTTTTTCACAGAGGCATTAATTACATATTGCACTAAAATAAAAATAAAAGCTTTGTTTACAAATTGTTAATGCATTTAGCATATGATCTTGGAAATACAGACAATGCCTTAGAAAAAAATATGAGTCATGTAAAAACAAATTTTCTAATTTGCTGACTTCAACAAACTAATAGAGGACAATGTTTTAATGTGTTGTTTATGTATGTCTGTGGTACCATCAATTATAATTCTGCCTTCTGCTTTGTGAAACCTATAAAAAAATATTGTGGTCTTCTCTCCCTATTTCAACATTTGAAGTTTTTAGAGACCTCTAAATGCAAGAAACAAATTTAAGGGATTTATGATGAGTTAGAAGGGATAACTGGTGACCTGTACTGCACTTAAAGAAGTTATGTCTATAACATTTATACATTTGCTCTCTCTTCAGGTGTACAGTAAACAAATTGAAGTTAAGACTCACAGATGTGTGTTACTACAAGATTTGATACATTTTATTAAACAGCTCAGTTTTATTTGGATTTATTCAAGGATCATTTAATTTGATTCTGGCAATGAACCAAATCTGAGTTTCAGAGCCAAAGTCCTATGCCTTTCTCTATCGTTGAAAACCAAAAATGGCTGTAATGTTTTTTTCTGAGTGACAGTGTTGTTTGACATTTTAAGAGCATAAGGAGATGAAAGTTGCATTGGCTTTTGTGCCAGATCCACCAAACATAGACTTACAACACAGGAGCAGCCTTATGTAGAATAAATAATAAAAAAATAAGAAAATGGAACCATAAAAAATTGCCTCCATTCCTCACCTATGTGAGTTTTTGGGTGGATGTCGGGAGAAGGGGTACTTCATTTGAAAGTTACACACCTCATAAAGCTGCCCCATGAAAATTGCAAAATATCAGAGTAAATATTGCAAAGATAAGTGAATGAACACAAATTCAAAATATTCTTCTACTATGCACACACCCACATGCACAAAAAGGAGTAGTAGAGGCAGAAGCAAACATCCATTGCCATAACCTCTCAGATGCAACCCAATTATTTTAATAATTCTGCTCTTGGGACAAAACTAATGTAACAATGGAAGCATGGAAACTATGCAGCTGTATTATTAGTCTTCTTCCCAAACGTTAGGATTTGACAGTCCTGCTAAAACTCTTACTCTCCCTGAAGCGACTCCTGTCAGTCACAAAACTAAACTCTTTCCTACTCTTCATCTATCCTTCCCTAGCCCCCCCATAAATATGTGTATTTTTGAAGTCTCATTGTATATCTCCAAAAATTAACAAAGATTTGACAGCATTTACATTTGCTATAAATAAACTCCAGTCCATATTTTGATTCTGACATTTCTCCAAATTTGATGAACACAAGTAGGAAGAACAGTCACCCTAGATAGTATTAATCTATCAAGGAGACTTTTTGAAAGCAGAGACAACTAGAAATTAATTGTTGGAGGAAGGAGGGAAATCCTCTCTCCTATCTTTTAATGAAAATGTTATTTTTAGTTGAATATATCCTATTGGAAAATTTAAGCATGTATACCTACAGTGTAATGTGTGCTATTTCTTATATAAAAACGTTTCATTGCCACACATTGGTAATTGTGGCAATAGCAATAGCAGAATGCTTGAGTAGCAAATTAGAAATAGCTTTACCCAACAGATACTACTTTAATTTTAAGATATCTTTTTCCTTTCTTTTGATCTCTGCTTTAAGAGACTTGACATCTTGACTCTCACTAAGACACTCTTAATTAACAACAGTTATATTATTCCAAAGGAGTCTTATCCATTACCTCTTTTCTTTGCATGCTTCTGAAAGGACTGACATAAACGCAATATATTGTTGAATTAAGTACAAACAAACTGCCTCCTTTATCACCTTAAAATAGTAAAGCTAAACAAAGTTTTAAAAACTAAATGCACATGTGTGTGTATCAACATAATGTCTATCTATGAGACTATTTTATGTTTATTTTTGGATACGTGTGTTTGCCTTTTTATCTCAGCTCAAAGTAAAATATATCACTTTACTTGTTCTGTGAATTTAATATACATTTCCTGATTTTGGTCTTTCTAAATCAGTTATGAGTCGTAACACAACTGAACGGATAACATCATCATCATCACCACCACCACCATCATCATCAAACCGGTTATATGTCATTAACTTGATCTCTTGAATTAGATCATAAAGCAGTAGATATCAAATCTTTGAGTACGAATGAACACAGCTTCTTTTCAGTCTGACAAAGCTTAAATATTTTATTTCTCCTACATTCAAGACATAAAATTATTTTTTCATTATTCTCCACAGTGAATCATATCCAGGCTCCACATATTTCCCAAGCATGTGTTGAAATGGACATATCAAAACGACGTTCATCCAGACTGTAGGATCTGTACCTCAGGAGATTTTCTTCTTTTTAATCGAAAGCAGTATTTTGAGCCCATGCACTGAACAGTTCGAATAGCAGTTATAACACAGTTTCCTTAAACAGTTCTTACAAGGCTCTTAATTGCTGTGTCTCTGTTTACTGGAACACAGCAATGGTAATTCACACCCATCCTGCAGAAATAACTTAAGTGTGCCAACTGTTCAAGGAAACATGGAAAAAGAGAACAAGAAAGAGGGCCCCCAAAAGGGACTGTTTCCTTATGCTCTTTTCTAGTGCATATGCTCTTTATAAACAGCCAAAGGCACTGCTAAAAAAAAAAAAAAAAAAAAAAAAAAACAGAAAAAACCTCTTAACATCCTGCAATGTCTTTTTATAGAACTTATATTCAGGTTGGTTTGATTTTAAAATATACATCTCATAAAAAGTTAACTGAGGTAATGGCAATAAATGCATTTGAAAACCACAGATGCATGGAAGTTTGTTTCCTTATCCTCCAGTTCCTACATCGCCATTACCTAATCCATTCAAAAAAATTTTTCCTGCTCACCAATTTATAATTCTTGTTCAACAGCTAATATTGTGAAATATCTGAAAGGAAAGTAATTTTTATTCCTTAATAAGCACTCAAAATTTTCATGTTCAAAGCTCAAACAATGGTCAATTACATGGTATTTGCAGAAATCAAGAGTTGAAGTTTCCAACTTTCTGAATAAAATTTAACTGCTTTTCTATTTATCTTTTTATAATCTGTAAGTCACCCAGAGTTGTCTTATTGAAGAGATCCATAAATAAATAAACAAACAAATAAATACAAACAAACAAACAAACCTGGGCTCCAAAAAAATGGATGACTACTAAATGGCAGCACAGAGGTACAGAAAACTATATGTTTTCATTTAGTGTCCATCCAAATTTCTATTATCCCAAACTGATCAGTCTGATATAAACCTGAACAGACTGAACACTCAGTTACACGACCTCCATTCTCAATGGTCAGTTGCAATTTG